CCTGCCGGCCGGCGGGGGCAGCGCCGCGGCCGCCTTGTATTCTCTCACCATATTTATTAGTTAATACCTCCTTGTTTTGTTTGTTTGGCTTTTTTTTGTTTTTTTGTTTTTTTGTTTTTTTCACCCCTCCCCGCATCATCTCTGTTTGTTCAGAATCATGGTTCGTGTGAGTTTTTAGGCATGCAGGCCTCAGAGCTGACAGAGGTCCTTGCTGTACCTTTGGGGCAATCCACAAGGTCTTTCCTTGACAAGAGATTTCCCTGTGGAGAGGAGGGATGCTGACTGACTCTCAAGCCTAACTTAGAATAATTCTGTTACCTTTGGGCTCCTACAGTAATAAAGCTTTATGTCTGCACAGGACTTCTGGAAAGCTAAAATATACTGGATATTTGGGAAGGTCAGACACCTTTGCTGGGTGGCCAGGTGGCTAGTGAGTGACCAGTGACTGTTGAGTCAGTACCTGTCTGCTTCTGGAAACACCATGAGTTTTATCAAAGTGGTCTAATCTAAAATATTTTGTTATATCTTGATCAGTGTAAGGAACAAAATATAAATGTTTTTAAATGTATTTTTCTACTTTTAGCTTGTGTCATTTGCTCTTTGTTTTTAACTTTGTAGTACATTAAAGCTTTTTTTATATGGTGGAATAGACATTTCTTAAATATTTTATGAACACAAAAATTCAGGAGTCTTGGTTTGGAAAAATTACATTCCGTTTTGGAATCTGTAATGGCTGGAAAAAGGATGTGTGGACTAATTCATTGTTGCTAATTTAGAATACCTGTGGAACAACCAGTCTTCTGCTCATGGTTAAATATCTTTGGGACATTGAACTTAGTTTATTTCTTTTAGATTTGCTTTAAGAATTTATTTTAAAAGTCTTTCACTTACTCTAATTAAAACTTTTCTAGGTATCAAAGCAGCTATAGAGCTGTACGTATTTTTCACAGCACAGTAAGAATAGAACATTGATCCTGTTCGTCTTAAAACTGTGTTTGTACTTTACCAAAGGTTTTCATTAAAAAAAAAACAAAAAACATCAGATTATTGGTGCAGTAAAAAAAATGAATTAGCTGGATATGCTTCAGTCAATCAGATCATCTTATCCAGAAAAAATTGTTACACCTTAAATAAGACTACTTTTATGAATAAGTGGATTTGTCTGGCTGAAGTTACTCATTTTACCTTAGTTAACTGATGAAAATGTGACCTTGTCTGCAATAAAATGTTCACTGTCTGTCTTCTACTCTGTATTTTTTTCCCAGTGCCTCCAGCAATTTATGTGGAAGCATCTCCCCTCCCTATGAAAACAAAGTAGCCAGTTTGGGTGGCTCTTCAACTCGGCAACCATTTTAGTGCAGTGTTTTTTCCTCAGTGCTGCTTTTACTAAAGGTTCCTGTTATTCGGATTTCCATGGGCACCAAGTAGCTTCCTACCCTCCTCCTGCTGCAGACCTGCGGGCTTTGATGGGTAATTCTGGCTCCTTGGAAAAAGGCCGGGATACGTCTGAGGGCCGCACTGCACCCCTTTGCCCGGCGCCTGCTGGCTGTCACTGTCCATAGAAAGCGTTCCAGTACAATCTATCCAAACTTTTCCACCCCATTCATCGCAGGAGGGAGGAGAAGCATAAGTTGTTTCACACACTGTACAAACTACAAACTGAGAACAGCCAGCTGTTCACGTGGCCTTGGATCCAACACTTTATGAAATAACTTTTAAGACTTGCAAACATTTTGTGCGACATCATCGTGGGGAAAATAAACACACACAACCCAGCTTCTATTTTGAGTGCCCCACAGCCGTAAGGGAAGCTTTGTTGTAAATTGTCCACTCACAGTGAGCTTCCCTTGCCAGCTCAGGCCGTGACGGGAGGAATCTGCGTGGAAACGCGGCTGAGCCGCTCGGGTTTCACAGGCCGGGGCCCCTTCGCGAGTGGGATTAAATGCCGAACGGGGCTCTGAGGGTGGCTGAGGGAGCAGCGGCACGCCAGCCCTCGCTTAAGGCCATCCTCCACAAACGCTCCCGCAGACGGAGCCATGTTCCTGTCCCAGCACTCGGCAAGGGCGGCTCGGAGGCGGAGGAGGCTGTTT